ATCCTTTTACCTGTTGAATTTTCAAGAATTCCAAGCAATTTTAAAAGGTAATAAGAGGTACTACGGCGGTAAATGTTACTGGTTACTGCCTGAAAAGGAGAACACTGCAAGGGGTGTCACTTTTTTTGATCCTGCTACAATTACAAGTTACAATTTTAGATTGTTACAGTCAAGGGCAAAAGAGGAATCAGAATTAAAAAAAAATCTTCTTTCTACTTTCCACTATTCAATGGTAAACATTCAGCTTTTCAGTACCACTGACTGCTGCTACAACTGCATTTCTTCAGGAGTTAATATCAACTTAATGAGTTAAATGACAATAACAATAACTAAGTATTTACTATCCTCAATACCTTCATAATCTTCATCAGCACCTGGGATCTCATAGTTTTCTTCTTGCTCAACTGGAGCTGGAGGCTTCACACTTTGCTCTGTAACTTCATAATTCTCATCTGCAGTGTTCTCTGCTTGAGGTTCTACATAATCTTCTTGGCCTGGATCATCTTCCATAGCCATGTAGTCTTCACCGGCAGCCTCTCCACCTTGAGCCTCATTTTCCTGCTCAGCTGACATCACCTCATAGTTCTCACCACCCGTATCCGCACTTGTTGTAGATGGTACATCATTTCCCTCGACACCCTGGCTCATTTCATAGTATTGATCATCTTGAGCTATAACAGCTGCAGAATACAATTTACTTTCTTCAATAATTATCACCTTTGTGCACAACCCTTGGCCTCAGCCTATATCCATCTCATTCCAAGGAGTAACAATTAACTAACATCCCTGTACAGCATCCAAGAACTGCCCTGCAGTCATATACTGAGAGTAAAGATACATTGGTCTTAAAACTGGTAGGTTTATAAATTTGTCAGGTACATTTCATGTTACGATTAAATTTCCAGAAACAGAATGGGAAAATTAATACCAGCCACATCATCATAGAGTTCCTCTCCACCCAGGTCATCATTGGCTGCTGGTACAGGTGCTGGCACAGGAACTTTACCCTTTGGTGGACGTGGAGGTCCTTTACCACCACCAGACAACTCATTCTGCAATCCTAGTTGGGTTTTCAACTTTCTGAACTTGTCTGCTAGCAAGGTACGCTCTATCTCTGCTGCTGGAGAAAGTTTTTCTTTGGCCAGTGTAACCGAAAAAAACTTTTCAGCCTCTGAAACGAAAAGGGCAGAGTAAAAAGATCAAGGTTGAAAGTCCAAAGCAGGCATTCACTAGTTATTTGTTTATGAGGTAAAAAACATCATTCTCAAGACAGAGTGAAGGCAAACTGGTCTCCTTGAGACTAACAAACTCTAAATCATCCTTGTGTTTACTATTACAATTAACCCTTGCACCCCACAAGTGATTGACATGCAACTTCTCTTAATGATATCCTTATCTTTTCTAGCAAACAAGTAATGAGAATACTCAAACTTATCAGGTAGAAGTTTTTGTCTTGATCTAACACCAAATTCTCATAACTGATACACAAGGAAACGTGAAGCCGCCAGAGGCAAGAATTGATAATCAGATCTTGGCAGTTTAAGGGTTAACACTCCTATTGACCGATGGTCGTAGCAAAATATTGTCAGCATTTACACGAGTTGGGAATTTTCGCTTCCTGTAAATGTATAAAAGGTTACGCATCGAGTGTTTCGCATTCTTGCAATTCAGTACCTCCGCGTGTGAATGTATGCTTTGAAATTCGCTGAACTACACGTATAGGAGAAACTACGATTGAAAAGCACATGACCACATGCACATGTAGTTATAACACATGAACTAAATGTATACTGGGTAAAAATTCGTCACAGCTACAATGCTAAGCAGTTATACATGTATAATACTGAAATTTGTAGGATGTTTCGAGTGCATATTTCTCTTCGTAGCTTCAGCCTTCTCATTGTTGGTATTCCTGCCGTATGCAAGTCAAGTGATAAGCACTAACTATGAAGCAGCGAAGTCATTCATTTATACTATCAAAGTAACAAAGTGTAATCGCAGAAAACTTTCAAATGCTGTCTGATATACCGGAAGTCCATAGGTTGCTTCAATGGAAGTGAACGATCATGATCACGATTACTCTCTCGCAACAAACACGCCACCGCAAAGATTAATCTCTAATTTAGCTTTAGCTTACCACAAACGGCCTCTTTAACATCCTTGCCGACTGGATCCATCAATATTTCGCCTAAAACGAAAGCCAAACTACCAAACTAACAAAAAATACATTGCCTTCTACACAAATAAACAATCACTTTCCGCACAAGCTTCGCCGCATAACACATTCAACATGTATTATGGGTAACATTCATATTTCCTCGTACTCAGTCCCGCTCAGTCATTTGTTTCTCGGAAATAAAAAAAAAATGCTCAAGTAGGCAAATTCCCAGAATTCTACGCTCATAACATACAAAATGTCGTCTTTAGGATCGGAAAATCGTATGGAACCCTTTTTTGTTTCATCTTGGAGGCCCAACTCTAACCTACCGGTGCGATACGGTCATAGCGAACTTGGTTTCTTTTCGATTGACGAAGAAAGGCACTTCTTACCAAACAAATGTAAACTTGGGACGTTGCAGCTACCACAGAACTGTGATAGCCTCGATATAGATTTAAATGTGGGATTTGAGCAATGGAAAGATCTCCCAAACGTCCAACAACACCTTGATTCCATGCTGCAATGGATTCTACTGAACAAACAATTGATGACGAGAACAGGTGACTTCCGCTCGAGCAAGGATGGTGGCAGGTACTTTCACGTAAAATAATAGCTTGTATTTCTGAACTGCAGCGATACAACAAATAGTTAAGCACTGTTCTGCACTCTTAGAGTATGGGAGAAGGTTAACAGTTTTTTTATTATCATGCGCAACTGAAGAGGAGCGAGACCCTCGTGAAATGAGTGGAGATGGAGATGAAGGAGTAGGCTTCCCTTTTTTCTACTACGTAAAAAAAATGTTCTTCTTGTTGTTGAATTGAATAAGCCGATAGCAGGGTAGCTTTCAGTAATCGCCATTTCTTTTTATCAGTTCCAAGCGAATATTAACAGAACCAATAATTTTACTTGCTGACTACCCAACTGCGATTACAAAATGATACTCAGAATAACGATCCAAACGGCGCATAGAATGCCTGCTGGGATTGCCAAAGTGATGCGAGTGTCTTCTTTCACACTATTGTTGGTCTCCTCCATTTGAGTAAAATCGCAGAATCTTTCATTGCAGCTGAAACTTTCACCTCGATTTCGAAGAGTGACCGGGAGAGATAAATGAGTGAGGGTTTAAGGACAAATATTGGCATGAGGAAAGGTTTAAATTGAACTACCACAGCAAAATTTTAATATGTATACAGCTGACTTGGAACTAATTCCAGTCGAGTTTTGCAGCTAAACCTGTCTGGACATTTTAAGCAGATTTATGTCGTTGACGGAAAAAGCTTCTTCTTTCTCAGTTGCCAAATTATGCAATGGAAACATTGACTATGCAAGGGAGACTTTTTAATATGTCTTTTTTCTTATGCCCCAGTTAATCTTTTCTTCTAGACTGGATGTGGACTTTGTCACGTCGCGTGGTAATCTGGCGCGTATCCTTAACATTTGGAGCGGAAAAGATGGCAAAGGCCGAAAGTGGACCCTTTTGGCCACTCGCTACAGAGGAACAGTTTACCTGAGCCACATCGAAGATAATCGAGACGATGAAATGTCGTCCTTTGCTCGAAGGGTTTGTTACTGGGGAAAAAGGTTTGAAGTGGAAGTCACTGCACCCGCAGAAGAAGACTCGCTCCCAGGCTATTCGCGTGGAAATAAAGAGGAACGATATGGTCCTATGAAAGCTTACCCAGGGTTCTTTTCAGTCGTAAGATTTCAGTTGGAAGGTCATAAGATTGCGCTAAGAGCTGAAATTGATGCCCAAACGCAAGTAAGTGATTCTGACATAATTAAAGGTTCCGATTAATTAGGAAAGGAACGCCTTATACCACTTTCCAAACTTTAGATATTTTTACAAACTAACTTGAGAAGACACTCTGGACCCTGCAGTATCACTGCAGGGCCCAGAGATTGACGAAAATCGGACATGAAACGTCGAGCTCGACCCGTTTAAATGGACAGAACATACACTTGATTTCTGGGTGGAGCAGTTTTATTGTTAACTGCGCAGATACTTGAGAGAATTATGCCCCACGTCGATTAAATTTCATCAAAGAAATTCTTTGAGAGTATACTTCTGTTTCGACTAAGTTTCGACTGGTTTGCGAAGATCTGAAGTGACAAGAAAACATTACTAAACATTACTCTTCCGCTTGATTTTTCAGGCTCTGGATGAGCTTCAAATTCCAGACTACGTTGAACTCAAAGTTACGACCGAAAATATTGTGCGGGCTACTTGGGCGTTTAAACGAAAGAGACTAGTACCCTGGTGGTGTCAATCAATCATTTCAGGAACGCCGCTTATTGTGTACGGTATCCGAGACTACGATGGTCACGTGAAACGTATCCAGCACGTGAGAACTGACGAGATACCTGATGAGGTTGGGCATGAAAATCTCGACAAAGATGGGTGTTTGATGTTCTTGAGTGATGTGCTCTCTTGGATGAAAGACATCGTGTTCGAAGAGGACACCATGGCTGTCTATACCTTTCAGTGGGATCCAAACGCGCCTGCTAATGGCGTGACGGTGAGCGCGTTGCGTGACACACAGAGCACTTTCTTGCCTGATTGGTACTTGAATGAGATGGAAGATTATTTTGCGAGTCTTTGTGACCAACGGCAAAGCAAAGGCCAGAAAAGAAAAATGGAGGACGAAAGTCAAAATAAAGATCGAAAGGAAGGAATGAAGGATATGCGTAAACGACTTGAAGAATCTTGGCCAAGAACAACGGAGTCTGGAAAGTCGGACTATCATGAGAACATGCAACGAAGGAATTTATCCCACCCCACGGCGCGGAGGTCGTATGACGACCGCGATCGCGGAAAAGCAACGCAGGTGTTGTCGCATGACACACCTGATGAGGGGCGCCGCCCAAAAAGAGAATCGTCCCAAAGAGGAGATTTCAAAAGAGAACATCACGCGTCAAGCGTGGCCTATAGAAATGATACCGAACGTGCCATTGGAACTGAGACGCGACTTCATCTTGGTAGAACTAGCACTCGTGATGATCACCGGCACCCATCGCCACAGTTTCATCAAAGTAACAGGAAGCAACTTGATAAAGTTACAAGATCTGAAAGATACCGTCGAGAGGAGGAAGATCAGAGACGGCCACGGTCGTGGTCGGTTATGTCGCCACGTATGGAAACACATTCCCTAAGATCGGGTAATAAAGGTTATCCTTTTGCCGATGCTGAACGGAAATCAGAAGAGTCAAGAGTTAAACGACCCAAGCGAGACTCGGAGCATCGAGGTTTCAGAAGACACTGATATTCATATCGGAACTTCAAAAAAGAACCTTTAAATCGAAATTCAGTTACCTATAAACAATCTTCACAAAAATAGGAAAACATAGCGCGTGAGGAAATGCAAGATATTTTTTGTTGAAAGTACATTTTAGGAACGTTTAAGTATTTTTCACTTTGTTTGATACAAATGTACATTTGTAATAATCATTCTCTGTCATATTTAGTCTAGACGTATTTGAGGCTACCACCTCTATTTTTAATCGAGATTTAAAAGAGTCGATTATCCAAACAACCAATGTATTTTATAGACAATCTTTTAACCAAAAAAACAAAACAAAACAAAACAAAACAAAAAAAGAAAACAACAGAAAAGCCTTGTTTGGTAAGGACCGTTGGTAAAAATTTTGTACCATACAAACAAAATCTGGTGAAAAATACACCGCGAGGTGCTTACTAAATACATTTCGTGTTCCGAACTCAAAGAAGGCGGAAAAAAAAAAGATAACTCAAATTCAGTAGATATAAGTAGGGATACATGCATGAAAAATAAAACTACACTTTTATTAAGAGTGTAAGTATCTTTCACAGCATTAAAACGTTCAAAAAGCATGAAGCAAGAAGTCTTTTGTGCGAAGATCAGGTCACCTGTTGATAGTATTTTACGAGGAATTATCGGTTTTGTTGACTCTACATTGACTCAAGAGTTTTATTGAGGTTCTCTTGCTAATGTGAGTGATAAATTATGAGGGCCACAAGTGAAAGTAACGTAGAAGAGCATAGCTCTTGGCTTTCCTAGATCACTGTAATGGTAGGTGAATGAGTGTGGCTATTAAAATTCTTTGTGCACTACACGTGAAGTTGCGCTTGAACTTCAGTGCCAGACCTCTAGCAGACCTCTTGCGCTCGCCGATTCGAGTAGCTCAGCGCCGCTCATAATTCCCCGCGGGCGATCAGACGCTTGTGCCGAAGCGGTGATAATAAGCGCCTAGTTACAGGCTATTGAGTGCTACACGGCTTAGGAAAGCTACTGACCATATAGTCGTTCTATTTTGTTAAAATTGCTCAAATTGCTCATCAGTTTTGCTCAAATTGATGCTCATGCTGTGAAATTGTCAAGGTGAGTGACAAAAATGTGTTATGGGGCGTGTGAAGGAGGAGCGTGGGGGTGTGGGGTGTGGGGTGTGTGTGTGTGT